AGGATATCATCAGCAACTCACCTCAGTATTGCTGTTATTGGACAGAGGTGAGCTGCACAGACTCGTTGACTCACCCCGGGCTCTTCTCACAAAGTTTTATAGCCTCCCCCACAGTAAATAGACATGAACACATATTGGCAGATGCGAGGTAAACAGGGGACTGACATTCTACATTCACTAAAGATGAACGGCAGCCACCGTAGCTAGGATTATGTTCTTGAGTTCGGAGGGGTAAGAAAACAGAACTCAGTTAACTGCAGTCAAATAATGCAGTATTTTTCATGCTCTAACTTTAAGAATTTAATGTATCTTGTGCTTGTTGTGCCTCTTTATTTATTAAATTTTTTTTGGGGGGGGGGGGTTTTCTTTTTTATTTGTTCCTTACAATCAATCATTGCACTTTTCTGCCAATTTAATGTACATTGTTTCCAGTTCACTTAATTTTCTTCTTTTACTGTCCACTTACATCCCTTCTGATGTAGCCTGAACCCCAAGAATGCCTGGCCCTCTGGTGATGATTCAGCCATATGGGACCCTCCACTTGAGGTTGGATTAGCAACAGGGCTAGTTGATGTCCCAGACCAAATAATCTCTGGAAACCAAAAAGAGGACCCAATTGAGCCTCAGCTGAAGCTCCCTGCCCAACTCAAAGACCTGAAAGTGAGAGTCTGCCATGTCAACTCTCCAAGCAGCTTCTATGTCCGCTTCGCCCAGTACGACTCTCAGCTCAAAAGGTCAGCTTTGAAAAAGCAAGACGGTCATTATGACTATATCATTTTCTTGAATATTTATTGAATAAATATTTATACAGATAGGTCATTCATCCAAGAATTATCTGTACTTTTCTATACTCATACGAGAGTATGAGTATAGAAAAGTACAGATTATTTTATTTTATTTTTGCCTGTCCTGTTTGGTTCTTTTGCCATCAGAATTATTGTCTAAAGGCGAAGAAAGATACCCAACGGATTTACTTTACCAAATTGACCATCCCAGACTTGCCGTAATGGTCTATTTGATTCACCTTTTATTTCTATATTCATACTCAAAATGCTCATTCTTTACTACTTAGTCCTGTTAGCAGTTATTAGTACAATACAATACAAATAAAACAAAGTACTACATTTGTCATCAGGTTAAGAGCACTAATTATACAGCAATAAAGGGGAATATAAGAACAAAGTTACTACGAACAGATATAGCTAAAAGATGAAGTACATAAATAAAATATTGAACCACATATAAAATGGGGACACTAACTAGATGGAAAAGCTATGTTGAATAAGTGAGTTTTTAAATGGGATTTAAAAGATAAAACGGAGTCTGACGCATGGATAGCAATGGGAAGGTTGTTCCACAGATTAGGTGCAACCAGGGCAAAAGCGCGGTCACCCATATCTTGCCATTGTGTGCAGCATGTTTTTAAAAATTTGAGGAAACTGTGTGGAGGAAAAAAGAACAGGTGTTGGGCCTCAAGGCTCTTTATGTTGTAAATTCATAAAGTTACTCTACAGTTGTTAAGGAGGTCCTGACACCCCTTTGGAGTTATATATATATATATATATACTGTCATGTTGCTTGTTTTTTCAGGATATGTGAACTGGTAAAGCAGAAGTGTGCACGAATAGAGCCCCAGGATGTGGAATGGAAGGTAGACATGTACTGTGCTGCACTCTTCAATGGAGTTTGGGAGAGAGCACAGATATGCTCTGACGTCACATCTAGCGACAGTGCAGAGGTAAAACAAGTGTTGCTCCCAAAAAGCACCATCAAACTATTTTCTTTTAATCCAAGAGTTAAATGGCACTGAAAGTCAGTGTTACATGTAAATAATCTTTTTTTTTTTTTTAACCCAACAAACTGCATGTTGGCAGAGATGTATATCATTTGCAGTTGAATATAATAGTAACTGTAGCTTGTTACTTTCAGATAATAAAGATTTTTTGATTTTTTTTAATTTATTTATTTTTTAATGGGAAGGTTGTAGGACTGCTCTGATTTACATTGTTATGCATGACTTTTTCTGTTACCTCTAAGGGTGCAAAATGAGGTCAAACCATTGATTCATAACAGCTGTCCAGACATACTAGAATTTCTCTTTGAATGCATAATTATAGCATTATCAACACTGATTATTTCTTTGCTGGCTGGTACCAGGTGAGACTGTGCGATCACGGAAAGATGATGAAGATCGATGTCAGTAACCTGCGACCGTTGCCATCTTCCTTGATTGGCTCCCTAGCACTTGAGTGCACTCTTAACGACATCAGGTTACACACACACAGACACTCACAGAGTTTAATTACAAACAAGGACACGTATAATATATTTGCCAATAAGAAGTAGGGCCAGGTTGTTTAATTTAAATGTAATGTCACAGTATGACAATTTGACAGTAATAATAATCATAGTAGTTATGTTAACCAGTAAACCTCTGATTTTTTTAAGTTTTTAATCAGTTAATGTGCTGTTACAGTTTTGTGATGGTGTATATAGATGTGTCCCCATTAGTTTTACTATAATGTGACAGCTTGATTTTGCTGCCATACAGTTTCAGTACTCTGGTTTGGATAAAAGGTGTACTACTCCAGTTTGTGTTTCTTTCTCACTTTTTCTTTTTATTTGCTCTTTGTCCCTTTTAGGCCCACGGGAGGCCGATCTACCTGGACAAATACGGCCTGTGACTCATTCTCCTACTACTTGACAGGAGCCTCGGCTGTTATGACGATCAAGGTCTTCCTGTCTTTTCCACCCGTTATCGCCCAGTTTCTTTCTACTTTGATTTTTGCCTGGTTTTTTGGGTGGGTGGGGGGTTGTTTGTTTTTCTGCTTTTCAAAGTGTGTTTCTCTCTACTTCTTTCTCATTTTGAAGGAGTTAACAGATGAGCGTCCAGTACCTGTCACTTTGTTCTGCTCCAATAGAATGGGAGAGTTTATCAGCATTGCAGATTTTCTGGTTAGTGAAGGCCTCGCGCTCAGGCAAAGAAAACCAAGGTGTGTGAGTGCATGTTCCACATGCATTGTGGGGTCAGGTGTGTTGGTGTGCACAGGCTTATTCTCCTTCTCCAAATAATCTCTCTTAACCTCTTCTGAATCCCTGTACTTCTGGTAGACATTGCAAAACACCAGAAATATTGTAAATATAAGAAAACCAGACACAGCAGAGTTTATTTATTTTTTTATAACCACTAGTTGATATTCCAGTTTAAGCAAATGTTTCTAATGTTTATCCTGTCTTTTGTTTGTGGCTTTGCCCTGTTGCAGCAATATTAATGTTCAGCAACCCAAAGACATGGATCCACCATCTACAGTGAGAGAGGTACAAAACAAGAGTGAGACAGAAACCAGTTCCCCATCTGTTCCTGTTATTTCCTTCCCCTTCCAGTCATCCACTGTCAGTGGTCACATGCCTCCAAAACCAGCCCCTCGCTCCATTATGACAGCTGAGAAGGTGATTATGCACACACCAAGATTTTGTGTTATAAAAATAGACAAAAATGTCATTAATGATAATGTGGTATATAATAATTCTCCAAGCCAATATTTGTGTGTGTCTGTGTATGCAGGTAAAGACTTCATTGTACAAACCCCAAGAGCTGCCATGTCTTGGTCACATTCAGATAAGCATTTCTGCTGTTGGAGAGGACGGTCTCATTTATGTGAGAACACAAAATGCAGGTACACAAAAGATCACGCCATTTATTTATATTTTTTTACCTCTACATACTTGCATAGCTTACATCTTATCATAGAAAGGAAATTGGGCTTAAAATATATTAACTGCGCTGCATATGCTTTAAGGAGAAGTAACTGTCAAGGTTAGCTGTCAGGGCTGGACCTTAAGAACAGTCCTGTTGTTAAAAACAGTCATTAATAGGCCTGGAAAGTGCTGCTGTTTGTATCTGTTCTATTGTATTAGGTTGATTAAGTGTACCTGTCTAAAGTGAAAGTTAAAGTATATTTTGTCATCTGTCAGGTTATCAGCTGGAGCAGCTTAAGGAGAGGATTCAGCAGAGCATGAAGGCATTGCCCAGACAGAAGCCCTACACCTGGAAATCAGTCTTGGGCTGTGCTGTCATTGGACCTGACATGTTGTGGTACCGAGGACAGCTGTTGGAAGTGCTGGGAGGGCATGTTAAGGTCCATTTTTTTAAATTTCCTTTAGTGCTTTTAAAGTAAATGCATTTTGCATTTAATAATAATAATAAATAATACATTTTATTTGAAAGCGCCTTTCAAAACACTCAAGGTCGCTGTACACAGTAGAATAAAAGCAACATAAAAGCAAGAAGTTTACAGAATCCCAAAAGCATAAGACATAAACAAATGAAATAGGAGAGTGGAAAGGTTATGTGGGATAAGCTATTTTGTACAAGTGGGTTCTGAGTTTGGACTTAAAGAGAGAGAAGGAAGAGATGTTTCTTAAATCAGGAGGTCGGGAATTCCATTTAAACAAGAGAAAAGCTAAAACCAAGACAGTGGTTGCTAGGCCAGACAATGGATAGATTTCTGTAAGATACTGAGTATAAATTGACTGTATTTTTAGCTTTAGTGATATAAAAAGTAATATATGTTGCTTATTTAGTATTACCATCAATAGTTACACTTGATGGAATAATCTCTGATATTCCAACTACAATATGTCATCAATGGCAGCTGTAGCTCAGGTAGTAGAGCGGGTCACTAAATGGAAGGTTGTTGGTTCGATCCCAGTCTGCTCCAGTCTCCATGCCAAATATCCTTGGGACGATACCAACTCCAGGTTGCTCTCCGATGCATGCATCAGTGTGAATGTGTATGAATGTTAGTTAGGTAGCACTGACAACTTAGAAAAGTGCTTGTGTGAATGGGTCTGATTGGGTGAATGAACAAGTTGTATAAAGCGCTTTGAGTGCTCAGAGTATAAAAAGCGCTATATAAGAACCAGTCCATTTACCAATATTATATGCTAAACTGCATATAACATTTAAAAACATTCATTTGATGGTACGTTAATACAACTTTTGTTCATGTTTATATTACCAGGTGCAGTATGTCGATTATGGTCTGGTGGAGAACATCCCGGTGGTTCATGTGTACCCCATCCTCCTGTGTGACGATGTACCTCAGCTCTGCATGATCTGCCAGCTGCTTGGCATCAACCCTGTAAGGAAGAGATTGTGTCTGTCATTCCATCCATCTTTTATTTTATTTTTTTTAAAAAGACTGCTGATGGAATAAATGTTTATCCCTGAAGAGCAGCAGAAGATTACCTCCTCCATAAAGCCAGTTATAGTTTCTAAAATGAGAGCCTAATTACAATGTTTTTCTTGAATACAATAGAATCAAAGTGAAATAATTCTACTTTTGTGCCTCTGTTTCTTCAGGTTGGTGGTAAATGGCAGCAGGATGCAGTGGCCTTAATGAGAGAGGTGTTACTAAACCGCAGTGTGGATATGAACGTTGTGGTAAAAATGCACAAATGAGTCATTGTATATAAACATATGTGGACAATTATATGTATATGATCCCTTGGGTGCATTTGTTTTCGTGTGGTAGGAGCTGCCAGCTGATCCAAGAGGACCTGTCACTGTTGAGCTCTTCATAGATGGTTTGAGCCTCAGCAGGATCCTCTGCCAATATGAACATGCCTCCATGGATCGGACTGTGTCGCCAGATAAGGTCTCTGTGTGTGATAGACTGTTTTTTCCGAAATTAAGCAATGCCAGTAATTTACTCAGGAGTATGTGTGCTTCTCTGCAGCGCCTCACAGTGATGCCTACTGCTCCCGTCTTTGACGTCTGGGATATTAACACTGAGGTATTATAATAAGACTGAAGAAATGTGTAAATTTGGCTGATCTCACCATCAAGGTCATCTTATGTACCTGGGGGCAGTTTTCCTTGATATTATAAGACCTATAATATTACTCAAGCTGTAAGCTTTTTACAGTAATTAAAGCAAGTTATGCTTTAAATCTGTTTCCTGTGTTATAGTGTGCATAAATAGATCCTATGTAGATGCATCAGAGGCTCTACTCCACCTAGTGTGCAGATGGGGTATAGGACCAATAATGATGATGTGTTTTCAGGGTTTGAGAGACCCGGAGGAGCTAATGCTGGGGTCCTTTACCTACCCGAACTTGCCACAGGAGGGGGAGCACTTTAAAGTTGTGGTCAAGCATATGTGTACCCCCAATGAGGTAGCGACTCTCTACATTATAAATTATATACATAATTCCTGTTGTCATATAAAAAAATGTTTATAATAAACAAAGCGGATAAGAATAATGTTGTTAATAAGGGATTGTTCTGTTTCCCCTGCAGCTCTTCTTGTGGCCTTTGGAAGGAACGGCTGATGTAAAGGTTAACGGAGAGTCTCTAGATGAAGCTTTGACCAGAATCAATAGAAACATTGACACGCTGCCACGACTTAGCAACTTCCCCGAGGGTAATGTTTCACTTTATCCAGACACAGATTTAAAAGATTTAAGCAAGTAACATCTTTGAGATATATCTGAAATGAACAGAGATATTAGAAGCACAGATATTCTTTACTTAAGCAGATGTGGAGATTCATTCACACTGCAAAGTCTTTGCCTCCAGTTTTGACTTCTTACCTTCCTGTAATAGCGATTATGTGGCAGTGCTGTCTAAGCAGCGACACCTATCGTTCAGGAGAATACTGCAGCAGCTTCCTGTGCCTTAATGGTGGGCATAAATAGTAGTGACTGTGTGATGATGTTACAGAGGTGCGCAACGTGACCAATGCAGAGGGTATTCTGACCCCTTTAGAAATGTCAAAATATTGAAATTACTTGTCACCTAAAATAAGTCCTACACTCTTTATGTGCATTAGCTAGATGATGACCATGACCACAACTTGTGGACTTCAACACCAAAAACACTGTTGTAGCTCATTAGGGCTCATTTTAACCTCTGAGTGCTGTCAATGATGTATAAATCGTAAGATTTTTGCCTCTTTCTTCGCTGACAGAAGGCAACAGTGATGGATACACCAGTAGGATGTGTTAATGTTTCCTTCATTTAGATTTAAATCTATTAGAATTGTCAAGATGTGCAGTCACAGAAAATAACAAACCTCAATGAGTTAGTAAAGTACCCATTTTGAAAATGTAGAGTTTTAAGAAGAGAGATTTGTTTAAAAACGTAAAAGGTTGTCAGAAAAATAAATACTCCAGTTAAGTACAGATACTTGAAAATTCTACATCTTAACTACAGTGGGGCAAAAAAGTATTTAGTCAGCCACCGATTGTGCAAGTTCCCCCACCTAAAATGATGACAGAGGCCAGTAATTTGCACCAGAGGTACACTTCAACTGTGAGAGACAGAATGTGAAAAAAAAATCCATGAATCCACATGGTAGGATTTGTAAAGAATT